AGAGAAACAGTAATATGATTGTAGAACCACCCACTCACACAAGGAAAATAACCCAAGGTTCACTCTAACCTTGTTCCAGTATTTTATGAAGCCTGGGGGAGACAGAAAACACCTTCTGAAAGTGTCACCTGCAATCCCTCTTTTCCCCATCTACACACACATGGTTTTTACAAGTATCATTATTTTTCTCTGAACCCCCCCTCTAAAGGCCCACAGGTATTTACAGCATAAACCAGGTTCTTAAAAATACTTCCCAGATGTTGTCATCTGCTCCTGCTTATTTACCAGAGTTCAAATGGATTTTGACAAACAGTCTTTGCTCAAGAGGCAATGCACTAAAGCCCTTTAATGACAGAACTATGTGTCATCTTTGCCTATAAGCATAAATTTGCACAGCGGGCAGTACGGTGAAAACAGCTTATCATCAACTCATCACCTCTCATCATTGTTAGAATGAAATGCAAATGGAAACCAACATCACTTCAGACATGGTTGTGAAAATTAGCATCTGTGACATTAGCACTGGCTCATTTATTATGCACTCGAAATTTCAGGGGGAAAGAAAAGAATGTAAAACTTCATAACTCTACCAGTCTTTACCTTTGAAATAAAATTAAAACCTTCAGCTTTCCCCACTCAAGGATAAATCCTAGTTAATATTCATTAACACCAAGCAATCTCTTCACTGCAGATCTTGTCCTACAGAAGTTCTAATTATGTCTCAAATTATTTTTGGTGTTTAGGTTTTCTGTACCTATTTTCTATTTTCTTTTCTTTAATAAATATTCCCCATTGGAAAGGCACAAGCCACCATCTGAGACAAAAGCAGCACCAAAAAACTTGCTTATAGCATCTGTCTGCATTACAGGCTCCAAACTCCTAGGCAAGCAATAAACTTTACTCAGATAATCCTGCTGAAATCAATGGGATCACAGCTAATTTATTCATTTAAATCAGAATCAGGCCTTCTGTAAAGAAAATGTAAAAAGGTGAAATTCTGGGCTCAAGAATATGGCAAAAATGTGCATTGATTTCTGCAATGTCAGGGTTTCATTTTAAGCTTATAAAAGGTAAAATTACTGGTAAGAAATTGTACTAGGGAACAAATTTGCATATTAAAATGTTTCCTCCCATTGGATTTGCCATTCTTCTCTCATAACCCTGAAAACAAATAATGGTTTATCACCTAAGTAAGCAAATATTGATTTAATTAGAAGATTGGGCATCTTTTTGCCTAAACGAAATGCAGAGGCATTGACCCTGAATTGTCTTACACACCAGAAGCAAGCTGAGTTTAAAGCACCAAGTGCATTTGGAAGCAGAATAAGGAAACAAAAACGTCTCAAACCTTTAGCATAAACATAGATCAACTGTCATGTAGAATAATGACACAAGACTTTCTTCAGTCAAGCCAGAAAAAATGGCACAAAGTTGTCTTTGCTTCATGTTGAAGTAAAGCCAAGAATCATCAGGCAGTTTTCAAGTTTGTTGTGTCCAGAGGAAAGGGGAAGAGAGAGAGAAAGGAGTAGGTTCTGCCCAGCACATTACATGTGCTGGCAAGTGGGCAAGACAATGCAGGGATGTTTTACAGATTATTTGCACCTGGGCAAATGTGTAAAACAGTGCGAAGTGGAATGCAGAATAGCTGTGAAGTGCTTTAATGGGGTTTTATGTGGATGGTGCTGCCTGAAGGGTGTACAAAAGAGAAGACTAGAACCTGTATAATTTGTTAGAGTGGTTTTTTCTTACCATCATTCTAAATCTGCTTCATTCCACTCCCCAGATGCACTGACATCTGTAACATCATAAGGCTCCGAGAGGCTGAAATCCAGGTGATTTCAGGACTCGTTCCTTCATCCTCCAAGTCAACTGCTCTCCTCCTCCCCAGCTCCCTGGGGGGTGGTGGGACAGACTGCACAGACCCATAGCTGAAGCACATCTAGGACACATCTAGTGTCCTTTCCCACTTGCTTTCCTGCTCTGCCAGGCTCCAGGAATGCAGGAGCCACAGTGAGCCACTCCAGCCATCAGCGTGACCATGGACCTCAGGGCTTTGTGCAAGACCTACTTTGGCTGACCTCACCTGCCCACACATAATTCTGCAGCTCTGAGCAGCTACACGGTGTAAACCAAGCTGTGTCTCATCTGGCAGAAATGAAAGGAGGGCAGGTGAGGACTCCCTGAAGGGAGGGATGGGAGATGCGCACATTCTGTGTGTCTTATATGACTTTCTAAAAGTCATTTAAGGTCCTGGATAGACAGATAGGTTACATCAGATAGGCTTGGAATAGAGAGCTTCAACCCTTCACTTGTTTGAATTTCTTCAGCATTAAGCAGCGTATTTTTAACCCTTAAGACTTTTCCTTTATATTTCAGCTTCCTAAGCTGTTATACAAGGTATAAATGTGCACTAGGATGAACAGCTACAATGATAAACATTTGCAAAGGATCAGAATCCTTCCAGTATTTCTTTTGAATGCATTTCTGTCTCATTTCTCTCCCAGTTTTCTCTGAAATTACACCTGGTTTAGATGTCTTTTTGCCTAACAATGAATGTTTATTTATATAAATGCATTCAATAGTTATATGCATATCCACGAATACACAAGAGCTGCCAGACATTGAAAGAAGTTATTAGCATGGCTGCAGCACTACTGAAATCTTGCTGAATGACAAAAAAAACCCTGCAAAACTATTCTTTTGTGGAGTAGATTAACTTTTTCATAGTGTACACTGAGAGTGTTAAAATAGATTTTTGTCTATGCAGCACCTAACACATCTACAGAGGTCCCTTAAGCACCACAATAATAAATAAGGCAACTGCATTGCACCTTGTGAACAGTGAGATATTGAACCTGAATTACTCTTGCATTGGCCATTGAATTTTCCACCTCCGTGAGGGGTTTTACACAGGGACAGCAAGTTGCCTTGAGAAAGGCTTTAACACCAGCCTTCTGTGACATTCATTCATCTTTATCAAAAGGCATCAATTCATGCCAGTATTCTTCACATTAGAAAGTAAAAAAAACCAAAAGGATTAAAAAGAAAATATTGGTGAAACACTCTAATTAACACACAGAAATTCGTACAGTTGTGATAAAGAGAAGCGGTCACCATGGTTAAGATTCAACTACCTAAAAAGATCTTTTTGGTGTCGCCTTTGAGGGTCTAAGGCTGTAAACCTGATTTTCACTTAAAATGAAAACCAGGCCTTATGGCTCTCTCACAGGTCTATGTGGATGTGCTGGAGACACTGGGATGTCTAAGTGGCCTAAAGGCAAGGTGAGGTAGCCCAGGACCTGCCCAGTGGCAATGGTATCGTGCTGTGTGAGCATGAGAAGGTACCAAATGTGGCCAGCACAGAGAAGGGCCAGCCAGGACATGACCTACAGAGGTCACTTGTGAAATCCTCTAACTTCTCCAAGAGGTGAGGACTTGTGTCCCATCTTACCCAACTCAGCATTAAGCAACTTGAGTATTTACGTTGCTTCCCTGGGACGAGTTTTGAAACGTGCTACAAGAAGCCAAGATTCCTGTTCTATGCAACGTGGGGCTGTCTGCTCCCCTGCCCTGATTGTGAGCAGCACATCCAGCAAAAGCATTCCCCTTGTGGAAAGTTTACACAGTTCTGTACAAAAGTGACCATTTAAAAATAAAAATCAGGTTATTGATAAGAAGTGCCTTATTTTGGAAGAGGAGAGCGGCAAAAACTTGGCTGGAATGGGCTCTGTTTCTCTCTCTTTAAAATTTTGAAAATTTTTAAGAGAGAGAAACAAAGCCCATTCCCAGAATCTTTCATGGTCCTTTCTTGTTTAATCGATAATGTAATTAGGTATTAATTATAATTCTTCCCTGCTATTAAAACACAGTATTATGAATAAGCAGAAAAAAATGCATACCAGGCCAACCAGTGCAATGCTTAAAAAAATATTAAAATGTGGGGGAAATAGTATCAAAATCCCCTCAAATCCATGGAAAAAGCCATTCATTTTAACTGTTAATGAGTCATGGTCTAAAATTGCTTGCACAGTCTACAAAAGTCAATGCTGTGTGAAACCAGAAGACCTCCTTGCTGAAACTGTGTCTGCAGTAATCTCTTAGGACACAGAAGGCACTAAGGGAGGTCTATTCCCAAACAATGAGAAGGTGGGTCTGTAAATTGGGAAACAACCATTGTTGAGAGCAGAGAAATACTAAAAGGCTTTTCTAATTTCTTTGGTAAATTTTCATCACTGATAAATGAGGCAGAAATGGAGGCTGAAGTACTCAGTCTGAGCAGTAGCTGTTGCACTGCAGCCTTGCAATACTCTACAATACTTGTACAATACAATGCACTGAGGTCATTTTGCACTCAATGCAGGGCAGGGACTGAAAATAAATTTCCAGCATTGGACACATCCTTATGCATCTTGCAAAACTCTCACTTCCTTTCTTACAATTCCAGAATGTGGAAAGTGTCCAGTGTAGCACATAGTCGCTTTGCTTAGAGTATTTCTTTCAGGCTGATATTTTAATGATTCCCAAAGAAATTAGGATGACAAGCACTGATTGCCAAGTACCCTCTTCTCCTGTGGTTATGATGATGCAAAAGCAAATTTATTAAAATAAGGAAAAAAATTAATAGATTTTTCTAATTCTTCACTAATTCTTACACTCCTTTCTGGGACATTGTTGGTTTATCATAGATGAAATGGAGAGAGGGGATTTTAGGTGCCCATCTGCTCAAAGACCAACGCAGAACTTTACAACTACAGACAAAGTCCAGCATCAGAATTCTTTAGCACAGCTGTAGCAGTCTCACAATGATGATTCCTTGAATTGGCTCTTTACTATTATAAAGAGAGTATATGCAGACAGATTCCTGAGACTGTAGCACTGAGGTACTTGCAAGGACATAAGAAAATCCTGAAGCTAGGACTTAAGAGGAAACCCTCACATTAAAAATTGTTAAGAATTCCTGTTATTATTATTAATTGGCGACAAAAACGAGACATCCTTACCTTTGGCTTTTGACTTTTCTCCTTCTCAGATGCATTAGATGGTTTTCTCTTCAGCATGTTTAACTCAGTTAATCCACTGGACGTGCAACTGCTATGAATTTGTGACCAAAGTGAGTGCAAGGGAGGGCACTCCGGATCTGTGCATGGGTTATGCAGTTCCTTATTCTACCAGGATGTGACTTCACTCGGCTGCCTTGTGGCATGGGGCAGCAAACGGAGTCCTTCCTTTGGGGAGGGGGTGAGGAAGGAAGGGAGGAAGTGACGGGGACAAGAAAGAGAGAGGTGCACCAAGGACATGAGTTGAAAATTAGGGCAGGGGTCAAAGTAGAAATGCTTTTAAACTTATCTGCTGCTGTGTCACCATCAGCCCTTAGTAAGATTTTGGACAACTTCAAGAAAATAATTCTTTTTTCCTCTCTCAATTTTTCTCTCCCTAGCTTTATGGCACTAAGTGCACCTTTATTTCCACCAGTGCTGGGACTTGTGTGTGAAGAAGGTGTGCTGATATTCAGAGGACCAAGAACTATTAGTGATACCAGATGTGAGCTACACTGTGGGTGCAATTGGCCCCTAACTCCTCCATTCCTCTCTTGGCTCTCCAGCAATTCAATAAAAGAAATGAGATTAAAGGTTGCTGTTTGGTAGAGAAGGGAATTATCTAAAGCCATCTTTTTCTTTTGCATGGTGGAATAATTTTTTTTGCCATTCATCACAGAATTGGAACTCCCTGAAACAGCACTTTTCAGTCCTCCATTTTCCTTGATTTGCTGAAAAAGTCACTGGGAGAAAAGGCAAGTCTTACAGCAGACTTTAAACAAAGAGGCTGAGGGAAATGGCAGAGGTGCTCTACAACATCTTGAAAACCAGCCCAAAAGCTAAAAGAAAGTGAAGCTATTAAAAGAGCTGAAATTCCTGCTTCATTTTGCTTGAAAATTTTATGTTAGAGAAAATCAAAAGTCTTGAGCATCCTTAGTAAAACTTATTTGCTGTGAGTCATATGCCACAAACCTTGAAACTAAGAAATATTCCCAAAATTTTTCTGAGCAACGGAGGCAAATTCTCAGTTTCAAACCCCAAATTTTTGGGCTCCTCACAGAGCTTCAATTAAATCTTAATTTCAGGTTACTGAATATGTAAAAGAATTATCTTAGTAAGTTGAAAGGAAAAGGTTCAGGAGTAACTGTCAAGAAAAAAACTTTGGTATTTTTTTTTTCAAAATTTTGTTATTTTTTCAAAATTATCTTTTTCTAAGAAGCCTTAACTCATAATTTTAGCATAAATGAAAATTCTTTTTAAAATAGTCTTCTTTTTTTTCTACCATATGAATATTCCAAGGAGAGATAAGACATGCTCATCAGATGAATTCCCATTTTGACTTGCTATTTATACTTCTCTTTAAATGTTTAAAAGAAGTGTTGGAGGGTTTTTTGGGTTCTAAAGGATGGGCAGCTGGATGGACTGAGACTGACTGATGAAAGAATAATTGTTATACACTAATGGTATTATAAGGTTTTCCTTTCCAGGCTTTCTAAAATGGGGGTTGGTAAGAAGGGGAGGAGGAACTGGGGTTAAGGTGCTGAAATTTTGTCAAATACAGGCCCAAAAATCTCTGGGTTAGTGGGCTGCAGTGGGCTACATTTTGAACCTCAGCCCATGAAGCTTCACTTTACATTTTAATAAGAACAATACTAATTTAAACCAAAGTTTAACCAAAGAATGTGAGGGTTCTATTATTGAAAATAACATATCCATTAGAGTTCCTAATTATTGAGATTATTAATAATTAATTTCTTTATAATAATGGTGAACTCACAGATATTTTTCCCTATATTTGAAAAAAACACCTGAAATATCAGTTTAAGTTTCTAAGAAGAAGGAGGTTTTACCATGGATATTTAATCAGCCTCAGTAATTCAGCAGGGCCATAAGTTGTTACAAAAGCTGCATGTATGTTTAATAGTAATTAAACTTGATTATTATCTCCATAGATTTACATTGCTGTATATTGGTTTTCTTTTTAATCTGATCCAAACGTGAGGATTAAATCAGACTCCGCTGATCATTACACTGTGATTTCCTGTCTCAGGCCACTGTTAAAATCTTCATGATTAATAAAATGGGAACTCAGCTGAAGAGTAATATATGAGCTTCCTTTCTGTAGAATATTTATTGTTAAACAGGAAGAAAGAGGCTATTTCAAGAGATATAGTACCCACCCATATCTATTTCCTTTCCTCATCCACATATCAGAAAAATTATAGCAGCTTGAAGGCTGACCTGATTATGTTCTTGCCCTTGGAAGGCTGACCCAACAGTTTTAAAAAGTAACAAAGTGAAGAAAATCAAACATATATAACATTAAGTTCATTTAAATTAGTTAACCATTAGGTTTCAAAAGGAGTCCTTTTGAATTAAAAATTGATAATAAGCTTTGTGCGTATATCCTCTGTATTTGAAGCTAATTTTTCAAAGGGGAATGAGTACCTGTGTAATATTTAAAGAAAAATTCTTATACTTAGTATTCTGTTTGACATGACTGCCTGTAACTTATTCCATTTCCTTGCTGGACTTTGAATCTGATCCAAATCCCAGTGAAATCAATAGGAGTTTTTCAGGTAATTTTTATGGGGCTTGGACTGACTCCTCTATCCTGAAACAACCAGGCAATGTCACTCTTTTATCAGGAAAGTCTTACAGGCAGAAAGGCTATCCACTTAAAAATAATTAAGATGACCCCATGAGAATGATTCTCACTGTCATTATATTTATAAAAGGCAACATCCCTTACAGCCTATTATGATCATTACTCACTTTTAATGAATGGACCGTGATGAATGGTCCTGGATGTTCAAGTGCTTTATGTGCCTCCCTCCCACATGGTATCATATTCCCTCAGGGGCTCCATCCAGTTACCTTTCCTGAGAGGAGAGATCACTTCCAGACTAAACTGCAAGAGTAAACTCATCCTTTCAATACTTGATTATTCTGATAAAACCAGAAAGTAGGGCGTGAAGTAGGTTGAAGGGTTTAGCACTCTGGCCACCTGTCAAAAAGCAAATGAAATGAGATTTTCTCTGTGTTAGCAACTCGTTTTTCATTGTCTGTCAGACAAAACTGGCCCAAGTTTAACTGGAGGCTCAAAGATACCTTGAGGCTCTACATTGTTTTCCCTAATACGAAACAAGCCCAGAGTGTCTTAGTCTGTTTATTTTAATTAAAAGAAGACATATTTTGAACAAGAAAGGAATCCTGCCTTCAGCCTGTGATTTTTATGGCCGTGCATCTCCCTGTGCCATCTAACTCACTTAGATATTGCAGAAATCTCAGAATAGCAAGTGAAGCTGAGTGAATAATTTGCAGTGAATAATTTACTCAACAAATTTAATCTTTATTTCCTCAAGGAATGTTCGTGAGCAGAACACAATTTCCTAAAATGTATTAATTATGGGCCAGAATTTAGCTAGATACTTCCCTCTCCTGGTCTGATTTGAGCCAGCCACAGCTACAGTCACTGCTAATCCTCAGCAGAGCTCTCTCCATAAACTACCACAGCAAAGACTCTTCAGAAACTAAAAGGAAAAAGTGTGAAAAGTGAAATCAAGCCCTCTCTCCACTGACAACCTATGAAAGAAGACAGAGGTTGAGGCCTGGGCTGTAACTATTCAAACAACATACTCTCTTTAATTTTAATGCCAAAGATCAAGGCTGTGATTTTCCACTGGATTGCTGGGGAATGGAACTGGATGCTTAAAGTCCCATCTTTAAGACTCCCACGTGCTCTGAAAACTCCTCATCCAGAACTTAGTATTGAAAATTGGTCCAAAATATTTAGGGACTTCACACAACAAGGCGCATGATTTCCTATTGAATAGGCTCCCATGTGCTTTTCTCATCAGGAATAGAAAATGGAGACGCTTCAGAACCTCAGAGTCTTAGAGAGACAGGACATAATTAAAGAATATTTTAAGTTTACAGTTTTGATTTGTGGCTGTGTTGACCCTATATCAAGAAGACTCCTACCCCATACCAAGTATAATACTTATGAAACCTGGCCATGCAGCCAAGGGAATAACTAACACCTAAATTCGAAAATTTAATTTTTGCTTCAAAACCAAAAATTTTTGCTTCAAAACTTAATTTTTGGTAAATAATTTACATTGGGTGGACTTTTAATGACATACATAAAATGAAAAGGCACAAGACACCACAAAGAGTGGGAGTCAAAGCTTGTTTAAGCAACCACCAGGGTGCAGAACAGCAGGAATATTCTCATTGTGCCAGGTCATAGGAAATGGGATTTTGGCCTCTCAGACTATTGGGCTTCCTTCTCTTCCTGAAAAAAATGTTACTGTGATTCTTCCTTCTTTTATGCTAATCCTTTGCCTTTAAGGTCAATGGAGTCATGAAGAATTATGGCAGGGACAGGCTATAGAACACCACTACCAGAGTTTAAAGAGGTGTCTGGTCCAAAAGAGTGGTTGATGCTCTGTGAGTAAGAAAAAGTGTCTCATTGCCAGGCCCTCAGACTGTGTCCTTGGCATGTTCCCAACACCACCTGGCCTAAAGGGAAATTGAAGTACCAGGAACTTATCTCAAGCTTTGATCCCAACACATTCCCTTGCATTAGCAGTAGATGAACAGATCAGTCATACCTACACTATGTCAGGTTAGCCCTAACACTAATAAAAATCTATACTACTGTGACATAAGGATTCTCAAGGAGATTGGCTTTCACCTATTGAACAAATCCCTTTCTTATTAGCTTGAAGAGTAAAAGCCAAAGTTGTCTATATCTTCTAGGTGTTCCTATTGAGAAAACTAGAAGTCAGCAAGGTTGATGTGTGGTAAAGCAGAAGCCACAGATTTATCAAACATCTCTGTAAAGTCTGCTGCAGAAATGCACGTCACTGGTGGTTTTCCTGTACAATTCCTGTACTCTGCAAGCACAGTGCACTTTTCAGTTTGTGATGAACAGCAGAAAGCAATGGGCAGGATGCTGCTGCTGTGAGTTCAGACGTGCAGGGGAGCAGCCACAGTGTTTCAGAGTGAATGTTAAAATCAATGCTAAAATATACTGCAGTGTTCACACCTAGAACATCTCAGTGGATTCTGTTGGT